CTCAAGTGGAGTGCGTTATTTGTTCCTCTATTTTTTGCAAGGCCTCGGAGGCGATGCCAATCCTTTTGGCGGGGCACTTAGTCACTAATAGTCCTTCGACTCAAGACGGCAAGAGTTTGTTAGCAGATTTAGCAGCATTTGCACTGATTTTTTTCAAAGGCCCTATTACTTGACTCTTGCCCATGTGGAGATAAGAATTAACACTTTAGGCGATTTTGTTTTGTGCTGTGCTACAGTTTTGCACAGAATTTGAGAAGTGAACCCTGCTAGCTCACTGCCGTTCTTCCCCATTCGCTTACCGGCTAATGTGACCGATAGGGTGTTTTGGAAGTTCTACCTTCCATGTCCCAAGCAGATCTCAAGTTGGACCCCAGGCCATGCTGATGCTTAGAGGGCCGAACCTCCAGTTGGTCTCGACCTCAAACATGCTGACGGACGTAGCACGCCGGATGGTTGAGTAATGGATCCAGGCTTTGGACATATTTTTTATGTGCAACTGTCGTCCAGTCACCATTGACCAGTGCCCCGCGTCGTGGTCACCGACAATCACGTTTGGACTCCAATTTTGTTAGGTGCGATCAGCGGCACTGGAGGTCTTGCCTTGGAGCTCAGTCGCTGTTTCTAGCCAGCCACCCCAAGCTAAGTGTAGGGCACTTGATTCAAATTAGAATAGTTGCAACAGAGGTTTGTAATTACGGAAAGACTTTGCACCACTGAAAGGCCGCAGAAATCTGCAATGAAGCAGGATGGCTTGTTGTTCAAATGGATCCATGAAACATGAAGGCGTGTTGGTTGGCCTTGGTTCATGAGCAGCCTTCCAGCCATCACGAGTCAGGAAGGCCTGGTGTTGAGTGATGATGGTGTTTCCCTCAACCAAGGAGCAGCTTACCAGACAGCTCGCCGAGGAAGCTCTCAGCCTTCCTAGCTGCAGGGGGCCTCTTCGTGCTGCTCTCCATGCTGTCGCCCTCTACCAAACAGGGCCATGAGGCGGAGGTGTGGTTTGGGGACTGTTGGGGCAAGCTGGGCAGGCTCGTGGCAAAATCGAACAACTTACAGACTGCCCATGCAGGGCATTTCTAGCTGCAGCTAGCAGCGTAAGTAGCCATATAAGACTTGATAGACTTTAGCCACAGACCGAGTTATTATTCAGTAGCAATCCCAAGTAGATATGAGGATTAACCAGGATCCATAAAGGGCCAAGACCAAGACTTCAAGATGACCATTCTCGCAAAATCTTATGGTCCCTCTGAAAAAGATATATTCATATTTCTTAAATGATTGATTTATTTGCCGATCTGACTTTTTCGGTGGGTCGGTCGAAGGTGGAACGTGCAGCCCAGCTGTTTGAAGAACTCCTTGCCCAGCACGGCCAGCTACCCAGCATCATCGCAGCGGTTGTTCTTTCGATCTTTTTGTTCCGGATAGATTGGTTCCTGCTTTTCGGAGGTCTGAAAGAACGGCACGTGCATCGTGGAAAGAACGTTTCAGAGTATGGAACAAAGACTGCTCATGTCTGTCTCTTATATTTGCGTGAAATAACTACTGCTTGCCAATGAGTTCATTCGGTCAGAGAATTGGTATGGTCGTAGAGTTTTCAAATCTTGATTCGTTTAAGTCTGGCCTCAACTGTTGTATCCGTGGCTTCTTCGAACTCATTGTCCAGTGTGGTGTGATTGAGGTGGAGTCTTGGCACCATTGCTCGAGGCACGTCTTTCTGACGCTTCGAATTGCTTCACTCATGACAGAAAGATGCTGATGGTAAGTGCAAATCAACGAAAGGTTCTTTGTTGAGTGTACATGGTTGATCGCAGTGGCAGTGTCACAACAGGGCAGGAATCATATCTGTCAGATCGAGATCGGTAGGAAGCTATGCTTTTCCAAGCTTTTCTACGCACTGAATCCCATAAGCTGGCTTGCATTAGATTCTTTCATGATTGTTGAAGAGGCTGCCAAGGTCTTTTGTCAGTATGAGCTGCGAGATGCATTTGCTTAACTTGGGGAACTCTTGAGGTTACTTCATCAAAGGAATGTCAATGTTTCCTTCTGAACACTGGGGGGAGCTTTTGAGGAATGCAATCCATCATCCCTCTTGCAGAAGCTGGCGCCAAGGCCTCAGATAAGAAACAAACCAGAGGAAACTGGATGCAGTGAACGAGTGTAAAGGGAGGATGGTTTGTGAGCTTACCTGGGCCTCGCCTTAGCTGGTTTTCAGCCATAGATGCTCCTGGTTTGTTTGGAAGGTGATGCCCCACCAAACAGCGACGAACTGCCAATACTCAGGAAAGATTCTCGCTCTTCAGCCAAGACGAAGCAACATGCAGGGGGTCCCAGGTAGTGCTTGGAGGGTAGATCACAAACACATAACAAAGCTGGCGAAAAGCCGCCGATCTTTGGTTTGGAGGTCGCTTCAGCGTCCATTTCGAGCTCACATCCACCGATGAAGCGGTGTGAACCGGACCTTGGAGACGAGTCTGACAGCGCGACGTTGGCGCTTAGGCTTTAGCAGGCAGACGCGTCTTGGAGTCCGGGCGCCAGCGTTGTGCAGGGTCGTTCTTGATACATCATATAGTGCTTGGCTGGTGGGTTGGATCTTTTTTCCTGAAGGGTCAGAAATTGCAAGGCATTGCCCTGTATAACGAACCCACACTGTGTGGATCAGAAAATGCTCCGCCATCCACTTTTCGGGTTGACCGTTGTTTCTCTTCTGTTTGGTCGCGTCGACAAAGAAACAAGATGAGCCACGTTGCCTGGTTTCTGTGAACGAAGGGGTCGAATCCGTCAAGTAACAAGAAGCTACTAGGGGCGCTCCTGGCATTACAGTCATTCAGTTCTTTTCTCGACTTCCATCGTGCGATGTGAGGAGGGGAGAGACTCTGGGCCGTCCTCCACGGGGTGACGTCAGGGCCGAACGGAGGCACCATGCCCCTGATTGGGAGGTCTTTGTAGATGTCTGGTGCAAATAGGTTGGTAGACTCTTAGACAAAACGTTTTGGTTGATGTAGTTGTAAACCAGAAGTGAACAACGAGGTTGGTTGATGTCAGAGGCACCATTCTGTGCGTCGTTCTTGGGTGATCCAATCAACTTATTCGTAAGCAGACCAGTGGTTTTGGACTGGAATTGTGGATGATTTTGTAAGCCAGCAGATCACCTATATAAAGGACCTCTTTTGCCACAAGTGGTCTTTTGTCAATAGGTATGAGGTCCCAGTATAGTCGCTATACAGGTACATGCCATATACTTTTGGCTCAAGTGCCCAACCAGGTAAAAAGGAGCTTTAGCGCGCGAGCTTCATGTTGAACTAAGGGCTAGAACGGGGCCAGGGCACACCTTTCCATCCGTTCGCAGGTTATCAGCCGTATCCAGACTCCTTCGAGCTGGGTACGAGCTACGGCCTTACACAACACCATCTAAACGCACACGCATCGGATAGATCAGTTACCCTCAGTCACTGAAGATGGACCAATCCGACGCCAGCACTGCATCTTTTGGAGCAGCTGCTGCGGCCGCAGATCGGATGAGTGCATCCCACAACTCTAGTCCAGGTACGATCGAAGTGGAGACTCTGGCAGCGGTGAGAGAAGGTGCGACAGGTAGAGCACGAAGTCGTTCCCCGTCAGCGCACTCGACACCACCGGGGGGGACACCGAGGTCAGGCCATAGCCCTAGGGAGACAAGGAGGAGGACTGACACCGGAGCTGTGAGAGTGTTAGCATTGGAGGATGGGTCAACTGTACCCGTACCGTCGGACAGCGAAGCTGGAGATGGAGCAAGGGCAAGCACTGACATCCTACAACTAGCACGGGCCGATGGAGACCTGAATGCGAAGTGTGCGCAACTACTTGCCGAAGTGCATATGTTGAACCACCAAAACGCATGGATGGTCGAATGTGAGCAGAGACAGAACCAGATTATACAACACGAGACCGAAGTCCACGAAGTAGTGATGGCACACCTCGAAGAATGTTATGTCGAAGGATATGGAAATCAACGAAGAATCTCCCAACTTACAGAATCCAGAGACTGTTTGCTCTCAGCAGCACACGACTTGCAATACCAGATCGACACTGATCGTGTGGCAATGCGGGATCGTCTCACCCAGTTAGGGGAGTACGCTGATCGCAACAACGCAGAGATGGTTAGTCAAGTTGTGAACATCGGCACGGAAGAGATCCAGGCTATATCGGCGGAAAGAGATCGAGCCGTAACCGAGGTCATGACTACAATCGCAGATGCTGAGAACGTCAAGGACCTGTGCAGGCAGGAGTTAGTTGGAATACAAAGGCAGAGCGTCAGGAACAAACACGAATATGCTGAAGAAATGAAGATGAGGGAAGCAATGTATACAAGCAAGATCAAATGGTTATCGGAAGAGAATGAGGAGCTCAACAACCGATCTAATAATCAGGACAATTTCATCATGACCATCAGGGAGCAATTGAAGAGGGCGAACGAGGAGTTGACACAGGCGAGGATTCAAGGATCCGGTCGACCGTCTCAACCATCCAACGCCGAACTCAAGAAAGCCGAGGTCAAGGTGAACATGTTGGAAGAGGACATTCTACGTAAAGAGAGGATGCTGAAACGTCTTCAGGAAGAATTGATCGAATCAAGTGCAAGTGAAGCACAATTGAAGGTCGCACTGGAGTTGAAGCCACCAGACATGGGATCAGAACCCTATGTGGAGAACGAGATGATGACCAAGCTTAGAGCGGAACTTGGACGTACCGAAAAGTCATTAAGGTCCGAGGAGAAAGAGGCAATGGAGTACTACGAAGGTATGATGCAGAACCAGCAGGACATGATGGAATTCGAAGCGCATGCAGCACGGCTCAGAGATGAGAGGAACAAGTACCGGAGGAGGTACGAAGAGGAGCGCTTGAATGCTGAGAATGCAGCCGCAACCGAGCATGGTGCCGCTTCATCCTCCAGCTCAGGTGGCTCCAAGATATCTCGGAAGGAACACGAGAAGATCAACATCCCTGCATGGCCCAAGATACACGACCTGGAGGTTTGGAAATCCCAGGTTGTAGCGGCAGTCGTGACGGCATCGGGCGACGAAAGACAAGAAGACTGGATCCAGTGGCTCTCGGATGCCTTCAGATCACCGTATGACCCATTTCTGCTCGAGACATCAGGCGAAGCAAGATTCGCTAGCATAGACGCTAAGCTAGGTATCACCCTACATACGATCATCCACGCGGCAGGTGAGAGATCTCATGACGTACAACTGAAGGTGAGGCAGATGATGCAGAGACGTGCGAGAGGTACAACTCCTGGAATGGTCAAGGGACGAGAAATGTTAGCGTTGATCGTCGATAGCTTCCGGAGTGCCGACAACGTCGATGTGATGTATGCATCCAAGCACTTATTCGATTTAAAGTTCCCTGGGGATAATCAACTATCCAGATTCCTTGGACAGTGGGATGAGATCATATCGGGTATGGATGCGGATGATATGCTTCCCGACAAAGCACTTCGCAACCTGCTTTGGGATAAGATTAAGGATTCCAAGGTCATGGCGTTAGACTTGTCTGTGTACGACAACATGTTGGATAAGGATCCGGATAAGACCTATCAGAAGTTACGAGAGATCATGGCGAAGTGGATACGGAAATCAATCGAGACCACAAACAAGAAAGAAAGGGAAAAAGCCTTTGGGAACCTCGTGAAAGCCACACCAGCGGCGGAGAAGAAGGACCCTAAGGCGAAACCCAAGAATACCAAGGCCGATCCACCGAAGGACGCCGCTCCAGTACTTCCTCAGGCTAATCCGAAGGACCACAACAAGAAGGACAAGAAGCAGGATCGTGGAAGATCAACCACGAAGAGCCCAAAGGGGGACCGTGGCAGGTCAGCGACTCCAGCAGATACGTCCAAGATAGGATGCGCCTTCCACTTCCATGGGAAAAACGGATGTTCTAGAGGAGATAAATGCAAGTTTAGTCACCAAGAGAACCACAAAAGTTCTGCTAAGAAACCAGAAAGCCTCAAGGGTGACAGATCAAAGAGTCCTGGTGGCAGGAGCACTAGCCCTAAGCCAATGAAGGATCAGGTCTGTTGGAATTGGCAGAAAGGATCGTGCAAGTTCGGGGACAAATGTCGACGCCAGCATCACGCTGCTCCTGCTACAAAACAAGAGGCTAAAGGCAAAGCCAAGCCCAAACCGGCTGCGCCAGCCTTCATGCTTTGCGGAGACATCGAGAGTGATGGCGAGGACGCGCGACCCGCACTTCCCAACGTACAACAAGGTAAGCTGGCGCTTCGCTTTAAAGTCAGATTTGACGACCGGGCGAGTGTGACCACGTTTACCTGCGATCCTGGTAACGAGCTAAACACCCGTCCCCTCAGGAAGAAGAAGGATGAGGCGCAGAAGGTGGATACCGAGCTCATTTCGTCGTTGAGAGCCCTCAGAGTGAGCAATATAGCTGCGCGAGTAGCACATGCCAAAGGTAAGATGATGGAGCTATACTCTGCTGAACACATTGCCAAGGCATGGATACAAATCACTCAAGATGAAGGAATCGAGGTGAACGTCGACCTGTCTGACTTCAACACCAGCGAGGTAGTAAGGAAGGATTCTGTCAACTACACGATACCAGGAGACACGATGTTCATGGCAGTGGAGAGGTATGATGGACCACCGATACGCTTCATCATGGACACGGGATGTGGACACGACTTGATCTCAAGAGAGAAAGTCAACGCCATGGGCCTTACCACCAAGGAAGGACCCAAATCCGTGAGCTTCATGACAGCGAATGGTGTAACTAGTACATCAGAGATGGTGGACATCAATGTGGACGAACTACCCATGATGTCCGAGGCACACGTGTTGGAGAGCACACCATCAGTCTTCTCCATCGGGAAACGGTGCATGGAACAAGGGTATTCATTCATATGGCCGGCAAATCGATTGCCATACCTCATCGACCAGAACGCGAACAAGATTCCGCTATCGGTGCATGACAACATACCCTACATCAAGGTGAATGATGATGACGGGAGGTGTTTACCAAGACCAGACGGCTTGGCTACGATACTTCATCGCATACTGTCAGGTGTGGGGCATGAAGACGAGGCCACAGCAGGTCAGGGGACACAACAAGAGGAACCTCCGCCCAAGAAACCACGGAGACGGAGGAGAAAGAAGAAAGATAACCAGAGAGATCGGGATGGTGAATCTGATATCAATCCAGCTGTTGCAGGCGTCGAAGGAGAACCAGAGGAACACGGTGATGATAGATATTCGCCTGAAGAGGAATATGACGGGGAAGAACCGAGATTCGATAGTGATCACGATGGTCAATCTGAAGATGCCGGAGGCGACGAGTGTGGAGGTGATGCGGATTCGGAACGAGAGGAGAGTGACATTGGTGAAGATGAAGAGGGACTATTGGAAGTCGACGTGGTTGACGGGGAAGCTAGACTATCAAAACCAGGAGTGCTGAAGAACGAGGCGAAATCCATATTGCACCTGATGACGCACCGATACAAGAACCCATACTGCAAGTCATGTGTGAGAGCAAAGATGAAGCACTACAAGACTAGCAAGGGCGCTTTCAAACGGAAATTGAAGGCATTCGGTGACCTTATCACTTTCGACCTCATGAACACTCAGAAGATGGCGAGAGATGGGATCACGCCGGATAAGGATGTATTGGTGATTCGAGATCGGTTCACTGGTGTGATATGGGGTCATCCTTTGAAAGCGAGCAATAGTGACGAAGTGGTGCAGGCGATGAAGCACTATATCGGGAAGAGAAAGATCACCAACGCTTACTCGGATGATGCGCCACAATTTGAAGCAGCACTCAAGGAACTCCGGATTCCACTAGACCAGTCGCTTCCAGGACATCCCCAGAACAATTCACTCGCCGAGAGAAACAATCAGTTCATGATGCTTACCACATCGA